ATTGTCGCGTTCCAAGCCAGTCACGCCAAACTACCTGAGCGCAAGCAAGGAATTGTGGTAGCGAGATGTAAACAAACCATTGCTGTTTTGTATGGTTTCGCGGGCTATGTGCTCGTAACTGGGAGTACATAGATCTAGTACAAGTTCACGGATGGGAAGTCACGGGTTTGACTGCCGTTCCAGTGCACTTTCACGGGTATAAGGTTGGGAAAACACGGGTTACAGGTTGCCTGGAACGCGGCAAGAGACTCAACTGTCCCCGCGCCGCCATAGTTCTTACGAAACACGCTGTTTAGTAGTTCAGTGTTATGATAACAGGTTAAACGTCGTAATTAGCCAGCAAATGAAGTGATATTTAAACTGTGTATTATTAATGAATATATTAAATATCTTGTTCCTGTTTTATGCATTTTAACCAGAGCTAATTTGAATAAAATGAATGAATTTAAATGGATGAATAAACAAACATGTTGCCCAATTGTTATTTTCTTTATTTACTTGCAATGAACGGTTAGTTCTTTACATCATTAAAAATGGGTGTCTACCACTCGTGGTATATGGGCGCAGTTGAGACAAAAGGCACCTTATATTTATGAGAAATATAAACTACTTATGGGTATTATTGATTGATAATGTCTATAAGCTAATTAAATGTCATGTGGAAATTCACTACTTTTTCAGTAGCCTATTTTTGTGTGAAAAATCAAAACGCAAAAAGTGTCTCAACTGTACTCAGTCTACCCTATACATTCAATCATAACAATCACTGTGTTGGATAATGTCTCATAGATATTCCATTCCAGTTGAAGTCGATTTCTGAATATGAACGCATCGTCATGATGCCCTCTGGTTCGAGAAAAAGGACTTTCAGATTGCAGCTCACCTTTTCCAAAATTGCTGTCAGTGTTATGTAGATGCTTTACACCCTGTTTGAATCCGGCATAGCAGGACGCGACGGATGTGAGATTCTGCAGGTATTATGATAGAGCGTCTTTGCATTGTAATGCATTTGTTGTATAGTTGTTCCTGCTGGCTCGCCGCTGGCCCCTGCTGATGTCATCTAAACGTGCACGCGGGTGGCGGCTCGATCGTGAACGTACAGCAGTGAGATTGACTGACTGACTGAGGAAAATGGAGACAGAGGAGCTTCAGAGCTCGGCGGAGGGCCAGGAGATACAAACACACACCTGTGATGTCTCACTACGGTGAAATGAGAGGTTTCACAGTCCTTCAGGACTCCTCTAATTGCGGTCTGCAAGATGTGTGTGAGATTGCATTGGGACGCAACACTGTCACTCTGCACGTGTTTTCAGATCCTCTCCACAGTCTGCTACTCTACTGACCTTCTGCAGAGATTGTTTTACATTAACTTTGGAGGACAGTGTCTCTGATGCTTCATTCTGCTGTCCAGCTGGATGTGTTAACCAGCGGGTCGAGGTTTGACTGGTTAGTGGTTTGGTGAAGTTAGTGTCCCTGCTGGTACTGTAGATGTTGAGCTTTCAAAACTAGCCATGTATTCTGCACCTTTTTTTTGCAGGTGAGATATAAATGACAAGAAGGCCTGTGGTTTATATTGCAGGAGATGTTTTTGCCTCAACCTCAGAACTTCCTCAGGTTAGTGTCAATCGTGTTGACTGCAATTACGAACACGGTTATGTAATACTTACTATAATCTGCGCAGTTTAGAGTGGGTAAGTCTACACACCATAAATCATTTCAGAACTTTTGCATGTTTAATGTAAAAATGAGAACCTATGCAATGCCACTGAAAATCACGTATAATGTATAATTGTATATACTAATATACAACCCCATATTAAGAAAAGTTGGGACATTTTGTAAAATGCAATAAAATCAAGAATCTGCGAGTTCCTTTCAACTTTTATTTAACTGTCAAAAGTACTAAAAAAAGATTTCCAATGTTTTCATTGAACAACTTAATTGTGTTTTGAGTCATTGTTTACCACTGTGTTGGCCTGGGAAAACCCAGACAACTTCTGTCAAATTTAGATTTGCTCTGAAAGTTAGTCTGGCAAAGAGCTCATTCAAGCCCATTTCCAATCCGTCGAAATCGAGGCACCAATCAGAAACGTTGGGGCGGGCTTTACACGATGACGACAGCGCTGGGATTTTGAAGCAGATTTTGTAGCCTACATTACAAAGATGGATGCCGCCGTCGAACATCACTCGTTCGAATCAGCTATCGCGTCTGTTTTAAGCCATTTGAACGTTTCCCCTTTAGTTAAAAACCGAGCAAAGAACAACACTCGGAGATGTTTCTCCGCCGCTCTGCATACGTCATCTCCTTCATCGCTCGGATTGGGTTTAGGTCTATCCGTGACGTCCGTTGGTGACGCCCCTCTGGAAATGATTTGTCTATGACGCTTTGCCAGACCATAACTCAGTTACAACTGAGAATGGTCTAGTTTTAACCAGGCTACCACATAACAGAGATTCAAGTTGCATTTCTTGATGCAGCGGCAGACTGTACTAAGTGACAACGCTTTTCCAAAGTTCCCCAGAGTAAATGTGGCTACATTTATTTAACAGAGTAGCACGACGGTTTCTTATGCAATGGCGTTTGAAGGGTCAAAGGTCATGCACATTCAACAGAGGTTTCGTTCCTTGCCCTACACCGACTGAGATTTCTCTGGGTTCCCTGAATCTTTTTACAATATTATGTATGGTAGATAGTGAAAGACATGTTCGTTGCAGTCTTGCATTAAAGTGATCTCTCGCGCGTGTACGTCACTCATTGTTTACACAGAACAGAGATTGTAGGTAAGACGGCTAATTAAAATGGTACTAATTTGCGCTTATCCGGGATGTTTAAACCGTCGTAAAAGAAAACAATTAAAAAAATAAAACAATTGTATGAGTGACGTACACGCGCGTGAGATCACTTCCGGCGCTTTCCGGAAAAGACCGAAGCGCCGGCGCCCTCAGATCACTTGGACGTGGCTGTGTTTACAAGAGGTAAAAACGATATAAATACTGTTCGTTTTCTCACACAAACCGCTCATTTCGTGTCTTAGGCCATCAATGTGTACTTACATTTACGAGTCATTAAATCATGTTTAATTTGGACTTCTCTGTGCATGCTCTTTGAGGTGGTGACCATAGACCTGCATTATATGACTGACAGACAAGAACGGTTTGACCTAAAAATATCAAAATTGAAACTACTGCGGAAACAAAGACACCTACATCTTGGATGCCCTTGAGGTAAGCTAAAACATACCAAAAATTAATTTCAAAGTGAACTATCCCTTTAAGAAATGTGATTTTTGACAATTCTCATGATATTTCCCAGATAGCAACATAGTGTCGGCCCAGATCATGTGGATTCAACCGGTCCCAGATGTGGGCCGATACTATGTTGCTGTCTGGGTTGGCACAAAGTGGTGAGCCATGACCTTTTTTGATGCTCTTTTTATAGTAAATCACGATTCCCTCACCTATTACTAATGTACCTGCTAATTGTGGGCTGTTTCAAAAGAGTTTAATTAGGATATTCTGAGCTTTTCACTTTTTTTTTTTTTGCCTCTGTCCCAACTTTTTTGGAGTGCGTTAAAGCCATTTACAAAATACAATTAAGTTGTTCAGTGAAAACATTGGAAATCTTTTCTCTGTACTTTTGTCAGTTAAATAAATTTGAAAGAGAATTAACAAATCATAGATTCTTGATTTTATTGCATTTTACAGAACGTCCCAACTTTTCTTGATTTGGGGTTGTATACAGTATATCACTTATTCTGCTATATGTAACTGCATAAGTGTTCACACCCCTGAACTAGCACTTAGTTGAAGCGCCCTTTGATTTTATTAAAGCACTCAGTCTGTTTAGATAGTTCTATTATCAATGTTGAAAATGGTTGTGGATTTTTTTTCATATGACTGGTCAATCAGACCTTTTGAGCCAAAAGTTTAAATAATGACTAAAGTACAATTATGCCTGACTGTGGAATAATGGTATGTATTTACTGTTATGGGATCTAACAGGGAATACAAATGTAAAAAAAAAAAAAAAAAAAAAAAACAAGACAGACAGACTTAATGTATTTGTTTAAATGCATTTTATTATTGTATTGTCATTTATTGAAATAAATCACAAAAGTTATTTTCAAATGCAGAAATTATTGGACATTCACTTAAACATGAGGAACACTGTTGGAAACAAGGTTTTGAAATCCTCATAAACCTACTTTCTGCTTGTGAATACTACAGGACAGACTGATGACTTCAAACTGATTGAGGTAAATCAGAAGACATTTACCAAAGTTTTGGTTTAGAAAAAGTATTGAGATATACAAAGACATTCAAAGAGCTTCTGCAAAAGATACTGTTAGCGTTTCAAACAGGAGAGGGACACTGGAAAAGGAAGACCTTGATCTCGAAAAGAGCAATCCAGACAGTCTTTAAATCAACCCAGTATATTGATATGTGTAATAAATACGTGATTGTGCCTCTGCTAAGGTGGAGAGGAACAAGATCAATCATTAACAGGAGAAAAAAAAAAAGAGCAAAGAGTTGAAAGTCACAAATTACTCCAGCATTTGGTCCAGAGCTAGACAGCAGAAATCTCCACTCGTGATGCTGAATGTGTCCCACTGAAACCTTCTACAAGAGGTAGATCTCGAGATTTCTCTAGGTCTGTGATCGAGTTTGATAGAGTACAACGGTTTACTAGTATTGAGAACAGTTTGATGTTAGGGTGAATCTTACAAAACCTCTCAAAGATAGGAAAAACCTCTCATTTTCCATATTTCGACCCCAAAATCAAAAGAAAACAGCTACATTTTAAAGAGAACGAAGGATATTTTTTGGACATTTTCTACTAAATGTCAATTAACCATTCTTACTGTATTACAATAAAAAAAAACTGAAATACAAAATTAGTTTTGCTCAAATCTGTGTAAATTTAAGGCAGTAAATCTAACAATTAAAGATTTTTGTTTTGCTTTAAACTGAAACGTGGAGGGGGAAAATGTGTTTAACTATCATGAAAATCTATAAGTATTTTCTTTCTTTATTCTTTTTTAATTTTGGGGATGAACTATGAGCCAGACACCGGTTTAATGAGATTTATCTTTGTAAATGGTTTATATTTGGCTGTGCATAATGAGCTGAGAGTTTAGCACGCTCAGCGATACCTGGATAGAAAAACAGAAACATTCATTATGGTTTTTGTTTTTGCATGCAAATGTTAAGGCTTCTGGTTGTGGGGCGACAGGGAGGCCTTCTGCTCTCGCACTATGAATCGCACACCTACGGTCAACGGCACATATTTTCATTCCAAACAAAAGGCAGAATCAAAGGTTTGCAGACACAAATAATTTCATTTCCAAAGAGAGAGATGATTACAGCTTTGCTGGTTTCCGTGAGGATCAAGCGGAAAGGCGTTGGGCGGCCAGCTCCTCCGCATCGTCGCGGTTCTCGTTGATCTCCGCCAGCGTTCGCACAAACCGGGTCCATTCGTCGCTCCGTGGGACTGCGATTTGCTATGGAGAGAAGAGGAAAAAACAGTGTGAAATATGTGAGCGTTTTGTAAAGGGGAGTAAACAGTGTGTAATATGTGAGTGTTTTGTAAAGAGGTGTAAACAGTGTGTAATATGTGAGTGTTTTGTAAAGAGGTGTAAACAGTGTGTAATATGTGAGTGTTTTGTAAAGAGGTGTAAACAGTGTGTAATATGTGAGTGTTTTGTAAAGAGGTGTAAACAGTGTGTAATATGTGAGTGTTTTGTAAAGAGGTGTAAACAGTGTGTAATATGTGAGTGTTTTGTAAAGAGGTGTAAACAGTGTGTAATATGTGAGTGTTTTGTAAAGGGGTGTAAACAGTGTGTAATATGTGAGTGTTTTGTAAAGAGGTGTAAACAGTGTGTAATATGTGAGTGTTTTGTAAAGAGGTGTAAACAGTGTGTAATATGTGAGTGTTTTGTAAAGAGGTGTAAACTGTGTGTAATATGTGAGTGTTTTGTAAAGGGGAGTAAACAGTGTGTAATATGTGAGTGTTTTGTAAAGAGGTGTAAACAGTGTGTAATATGTGAGTGTTTTGTAAAGAGGTGTAAACTGTGTGTAATATGTGAGTGTTTTGTAAAGGGGAGTAAACAGTGTGTAATATGTGAGTGTTTTGTAAAGAGGTGTAAACAGTGTGTAATATGTGAGTGTTTTGTAAAGGGGTGTAAACAGTGTGTAATATGTGAGTGTTTTGTAAAGGGGTGTAAACAGTGTGTAATATGTGAGTGTTTTGTAAAGGGGAGTAAACAGTGTAATATGTGAGTGTTTTGTAAAGGGGTGTAAACAGTGTGTAATATGTGAGTGTTTTGTAAAGGGGTGTAAACAGTGTGTAATATGTAAGTGTTTTGTAAAGAGGTGTAAACAGTGTGTAATATGTGAGTGTTTTGTAAAGGGGTGTAAACAGTGTGTAATATGTGAGTGTTTTGTAAAGGGGTGTAAACAGTGTGTAATATGTAAGTGTTTTGTAAAGGGGTGTAAACAGTGTAATATGAGCGTTTTGTGAAGACGTGTAAACAGTGGACGATCAGGCTATTCTGAGAGTGAACTGACCCCTGGCTAACAATCCCACTTCTCATTCTTCTACTCGCTCTGCTTTCATCCCCTCTCGTGAGTGACAGAGGCCCTCTGTGGCCCCTGAAGGGCCCCTCTCTGGCAGACGTGTAATTGTGGTGTGTGTCATCTTTAGAGGCTCCGCATAGGCTTTTTACACGACTGTCTCGTGACAGAGCGAGTGAGAAAGCCGCCCCGGAGCTGAAGGTGTTGATGTGAAGTCAGTCTGTGATGTGTGTGTTCAGTAAACTCTACTCTCTCACCTCGCCGATGTCGTAGATGTGTATCTGTCCCTCTGAGTCCCCGACGGCGATCTCTCTACCCGACTGAGACCAGCGCAGTCTGTTCAGAGCAGGACTCCCTTCCACAGCCACGCTGACAGAGGGCACCTGCACACACACACACGGACACATTGAGCTTGACTAATAATACCAATAATACCATTTGTTCAGTCAGTATCTGATCCATCCACATTATTAATCACAGAAGTCACGTAACATGTAATAGAAGGACTTCATGCTGATATTTGAAAAATAACTTGCTGTCAAACACACACTTGCTGTTGAACTACAAACTGGACAAGGCTGATCACAACAAACTGTCCAATGTTCATATACTGGTCCTGCTTGGTAAACCCACAGCCACAGTACTTAAAGTCCCCCTGTGGTGAAAATTCAGCTGTTAATGTTGTTTATATGTCTATGTGGTGTTTTTAATGTGCATTAGGACAAACCATGTGTAAATTCATAAGTCAAATAAAGAAGTGTGAAGTCCGCACACTGAAAATTACTGCTCCAAAGGATTTATTAAAAGGCAACGTTTCGACCCTCAGGTCTTCATCAGGCACAACAAGGGTGTAGAGTTACATTCAAACTATTTTAAGGCATGAAATATGTAATTTTGGTGATCAAAGATGAGTTTTAAGGGATAAAATGATTGACTACAGGGGGACTTTAAAAAAAAAATCAACTGAAAATGTATTGGATATACTTGTTTATATTTCCCAGCACTACTAAAAGAAATCAGATTTTGTTTCTCAGTGTAGAAAAGCCTGTGTGGTGAAAATAAATAAAGTTATTTCTGCATATGCAAGTGTGTGTATCAGTGATGTTTCATGGCATGTAATGCTGTTGTAACCTCGGTGTCGTTGTTGAGGTTCCACAGGTCGATGCGTCCGAGTCCGTCAACACACGCGAACAGGGCGGGATGTACCGGAGACCACATCACATCATAAACATAATCCGAGTTATCCTCAAACGAGTACAGCGGCTTGTTATTCTACAGCAGAGAGAGAAACACACCGTCAGCTGAGAGATTCGTGAATGACAGTGTAAAGTAATGAGTGTGTATGAATGATCCGTTACCTTGCTGCTCCAGAGTTTAACAGTCCAATCAAAAGAGGCGGTCAGGAAGAGATGAGAGAAATCTACCGGCCCAGTCGCTGTGTGACAGTGAATGCCTGTGATTGGACCATGATGTCCCTCGAACATCTCACTGATCCCTGCCCGACTGCTCACACACACACACACACAGACAGAATGACAGAGGGTTAATAATCTCAGCATGTTTCCATCAGTCAGGTAACACTTCACATTACTAACACACACACACACCGCTGAGTGTGTGTGTGCTGTGTGTGAGCTCATTACTGTGAGAGGTAAACAGCCGAGTGAGATGCTGAGAGTGTGTGTAGAGGATGAGATAATCACAGCATCACAAATGAAGAGGAAACATTCGCTCTCTCAGCTCAGTACAGCACACACAAACACATCTACTATATCCCATTCATAAACTGGTGATTTTCATATTTTTAATTTAAAAAAAAATGTGCAGGAACTTCCATTCAGAGCAATATAGTTTTGGGAGATAACAGATAACGATCATAACATGATTTCTGCTTCAGTAAAGCTCTACGGTCTACAGTAGACACTATTATTAATAAAAAAAATATATTAATAACTCATACACATTAATTTACTATTTTCTTACAATTAATTTTATATATATATATACACTATAAATATACACACACTAATATTTATCATTCAATGATACTTATTCAATTATTGACATTCAATAAGTCATTATAACTATTTATATTATTCTATTAATTAATAATTACTATAGTAATTACAACAAATTTGTGAACTAAACAAGCGTGTTGATCAGTCCACTAAAGAAACATTAAAACATGCCTTTCCACAAATTTCCCCTTTCAAAAATATGTTCATATAATCATATTATACATTGAACTATGTCTAATCCACATTTACACAAATATAAATAAAAAAATTATATATACATGGTGCGTGTCTGGTCTCAAATTGTAGCTTTTTTATTTCTTAAAATTTATCATTTTTCTTTTCCATAACATTGCATGTGGTAATAAAGAATTGGTAATGCTTTAAACTTTATCCGTATGATTGGGGAAAAATCACTTTGATAAAGCAAATATACCTACATATAATAAGAACATACAGTTACCAGTTAAGACCCAGTTAAGCAATAGTTTAAAAATTCTCATAATTTGTCCTTGTCCTTGCATTGCAATTTTTTTCTTATTCTAAATGTGATCAACACTTTGTAAGTTGATGTGTTGCGGAAGTTGGCTATTAACATGTAACATTTTAATTATATTCTGCTGAAATGAACGAAATGACTTATCGAGAGATTTAGTTCATTATGATGAACAAGATTCACAGATCAATAAAATGACCATTACTAAATTCAATTGGCTTTATGCCACAGCTTCACTACTTCCTGAACTTCAGCCAGCCCTTTGTTTCCTGTCTGTCATTATTGGACAAACTGATTAATCCAGGTGCGCCTGGCCTCAATAACAATAATCAGGCACACCTGGATTAATCAGTTTGTCCAATAATGACAGACAGGAAACAAAGGGCTGGCTGAAGTTCAGGAAGTAGTGAAGCTGTGCATAAAGCCTATTGGCACGGACTGAAGACGAATGGGAGAATAGAGAAGAAAGGGAGAGCCGTGTGTTCAGACGCTGCAGTATCACAGGGTGTTCTCAGCGCCGTCAAAATAAAAGTCTGGCGTCTCGTCAAAATAAAAGTTCAGCGTCCAATATATCGGCCACACCGAAAAACCGATTGGCCGATATATCAGTCGACCACTAAATTTGTGAGAAAGAAAATGTATGTTTGCATAATCAGATTACATGCACAGATGCAGAGATCTCCTGCAGTGAACAGTGTGTGTAAGTGTGTGTATTACCTGCCATGGCGACAGGCTGTGTACACTGATCCATCCTCACTCCCCACCACAAAGTTATTAACGTCACCCAGAGGGAAGGACATGGAGGTGACCGCAACGGATTTAGACTGCTTAAACACCAGCTCCATACTGTCCTGTTGACACACACACACACATCAATAACACCGCAGCCAATAGCCTCTCTCACAGATTAGAAATGCGTAATTTAAATTCAGCCGGCGTTTTACCAATCATTAACATCTGACACTGTGGTTTGGCAAATGTTCTTGGAAACTCAAGGATGAGTTAATGGTATACTAACTCCAAACGCAGCTCTCTCTCTGTGTGTGTGTGTGTGTGTGTGTGTGTGTGTAAGGCAGCAGGGAAGAGGTTGTGGCTCTCAGTGAGTCAGTGCTTCTGAAGCCAACAAATCACTTCCCTTGGCATTTGTCGGTAAGATTTGTTCACAACATTCACTGTTTTTACTGGTTGAGTGAGCGAGTTGTTTCTTTGAGTAGGATATTCAAACTCTGAAAAAAGGAATTTTTGATGGCAAGGGTCATGTGAGAGCAGAGAGAATTGTGGGTACCTGTGGTTGAGACAGCATGTCCAGACTCCAGGAGCACATCTTTCCATCAGTAGAGATGCTAATGAGGTTATGAGCGTTCTGTGTGCCAACCACATTCACACAGTACACTGGGTGCTGGAGGAGAAACAGAACAGTAAGGTTAGGGGAGGACTAAACTTGTAGGCACTAATGCTTTCTGTGTACACTTAAACATTGTGTATTTATTTATTTTTTATATGAATTGTAATTTTTAACCATAATGTGTTGTTTGTAATTTTATTTTTGTGATTTTATACCTGTGGTTATTTTTAAGGTTGCCTTTTTTACACCTGGCTGGGGGACTACCGATGAAAATTAGCACTTCTGAGCTAACTCGGGTACATTTACATTGTTTCAATGTTGATTAATGTACACTGTCCCCTTTCAAATAAAGAGAAATGAAATGACTCCAGACTGCGACCAAATGGTTGCATTTTGCGACCATTTTTCCAGCCAGTGCGAGTAAAATTTGATCTAGGTCAGCAACCACAACCAGTATCAAACGGCAAACGAATGGAAAGCGGAACAAATTAACTTCACGGACCGTTTATTAGTTCGGACCGATAATCACACGACATCATTACTACACAGCGCTGGGAGATCCAGTTGAGAAATCTATTGAATTTGCCACAGAATTAATAACATCGCTGCGAGATCCAGTGAGAAACATTCAGATTCGGCGCAGAATTCTCTGTTTTAACCATAGATATCAGATCAAACAGCGCTGAGAAACATTGTGCCAAGAATGAACAAGTTATAGAAGGCTTTAAGTCCACAAATCAGCAACATTCACCATGGATTTAATTAGGGGTGACCCCGAATAGTCGAAGATTCGATGCTTCGATAGGAGGAGCCTGATTCGACTACCAATCTCACGGTCGAATCTTCGCAGATGTGTTATTACACGAGGATTATGTCATTTTGGCTATATGAGTGTGCTCAATGTCTGATTTCACATGGAGCTACTGGTTTTCTGTCAATACGTTAATATACAGCCGATTATGATAATGCTGTCAATAAAAATGTGCAAAGAAAGAAGCTTTTAATAAATATTTTTTAACGTGCGTGCAGCGTGAATAAATCCAAACACCCCGTGACAGATTTAAGTTTCACTTTCGATCCGTGACCGACAGAGGAGCGTCTTGTCGGCAGGGATTTAAATCTTTAAAAATGTCTGGGATAAGAAAATCTAAAGATGCACACCATCAGAAAGGATATTCTCCAAGGCTGGATTTAGCATCAGGAAAACCATGATCGCACTTCTGCCGGCCAACGTTAACAGGTTGGTTTTCCTCGGGACGTTCTAAAACGCTTAAAAGCTTTTAAAACGCTTAAATGGCACTTTTACGGGCTTAATGTATGTACACAGTATAGGCTACACACCTTAAGAAACCATTCTATGTGCAGATAAGCAGATGAACCAGAATATGAACGCAACGCGTTTCTCAGATAGAAAGTCACGTAAAGCTTTTCCTTTAACGGTTTTCTATGGGAGGAAAATGCTTAACGTAGCCTATAATAAAACGCTTTGCGTTCATATTCTGGGCTCATCTGCTTTTCTGTAGGCTATATATATAGTATGCTTTATTAATAAGGTGTGTACAGAATTTGATTTTTTAGCCTAATATAACAGTTTTAGGACAAAGCCGTTAAGCGTTTTTCACGTTGAGCGTTTTAGAATGTATTTTATCCGCGCACACAATTTGAAAAGACTCAAACGGACACAGAGTGAAAGACTGGATTTAGTTTTTTCGATCAGGTATGGGTACAAGTGATTTCAAAACATTTCAGCCGGTTCTAATTTGATTTTTGGATACTGTGAACACGTTTAGCTAAAAAGACTGCCGCTCCAGTTTAGCGTTTATTGTTGTTTCTGCAGTTAAAAAGACAAAGTTGACAATCCTGGCCATACTTTCGTTATTTTAATCATTTCTTTATTTTTATTTTATTAATTGATCACTCAGGGTGATCTAATTTAACTATTTGTGACTTGTGTTTTGAATATTTGTTCCCCTGCACTTTAGGCATTTTGCACACATTTGTTCTGCTTCTTGTGACTTGATTCTGACTTATTTCGTTTTTGTATTTTTTTTTATTAAAGGAGCTGTATGTAAGAAATGTATTTCAATTCATCATAAAATGGCCCTGAAATGTCACTAGACATTAAGAAATCATGTACATTTCAAATACTTATATCACTGACAACAGTAGTCTGGCCAGGATATTGTCATTTAAAAAGTGCAGTTGCAGCCCTCAACTGATGTTGATGTTGTCATGTTGTGTTTTGGTCTGATGCTCCACCCTCCACCTATCTACCAATCACGAAGTCAGTAGTGTTGCGGCATCCGGGTTGCCAGCTCTGCTCTAGTTACCACAGCTGCAGCTCGTCACGTTCCTGCTGGATCCTGCTGCCGATCTGGCAACCTTGAGTCAGGGAGGAGGGGGAAGGGATACACCACTCTACAGTAATTTGAAAGTGATTGCAGTACTAGTTTTGGCCACAATCTTACATACAGCTCCTTTAAAATTTATATTGTGTTCTTAATTGTTGGTTATTTTTCAGTCCATCGATGTTGCGCTGTAGGCTTACTTAGAGCATGCTCGTACAGGCAATTCAGCCGATTTAATTTGATTTGCATGTGAAATGCAAATCCTATCTGCAGTGTGGCCTTTCTGCAGTTATTTATGTTATTTCTTAGTTTTATTGATCCAAAATGTTTTTATACATTTTCTTCTATATCTTTGTGTGATGTTCTGTAGATCGCGGCTTTAAAATGTTAAAGCCCCGCCCCCTCCCCAACACCACACACATGATTCGACTATTAGTCGACTATAGGCAGGACTTGACGAATCTGATTCGACTATGAAAATCCTTAGTCGGGGACACCCCTAGATTTAATGTAGTAACACGAACTGTAACTATTGTATTGTGACAGTCAAACGCTTACGAGTACTACACATCTTTTTCCAGCACTTCAAAACTATAGTATCATATTTAAATGTTATTTTTAATGTGATGACCAAAACATTTTTTGTTCATCCTTCAAAAATTGTTGTTCCCATTTATAAAACTGAAAGTTTCAAGATGTAGGAAAACTCACTCACTCAATCAAAAAAAAAAAAAAAAAACCTTTAAATTACCGTTGTAACCAGTAGGCGGCTGCAGAGGACGCTTATTTTCACTCCCTGATATCTATTTCTTCACTCGTTTTGCTTTTGAATTAACATTAAGACATTATGAATGACAATAATTAAAGTTAATTTTATCTACACCTCAAATTAAGCTCAGTGCTTTATTGTCAGCCCCTCTGTGCTGCCAAATACTTTTTGGTATGCTCCAAAAAAAAATGTTAGTCTGGAGCTCTGGGTTAGGGTGTCAAAAATATTAAAACCAATGTGAAAAATAAGCAGTATTTTGTTTTTAGGACATCACAGTAATAATATCTCAAGATTCTTGGACTGCAGCTACTGCTTCCCCTCCTTTTCTGCGTGGTGTGTGTGTGTGTGTGTGTGTGTGTGTGTGTGTGTGTGTGTGTGTGTGTGATGCCATGTACCGTGTGGGCCGCAGCAGAGAGAGGGGTCCTCTGGACAGGGGTGCGCCTGTTACTTCTGTTGTCCCACAGGACGATCTGTCCTGAATAAGTGCCACCGACAACCAGGTTAGGATGAAACTTTGCAAACGCTGCGGACATGACCGCAGACTACAGGAGAGAGAGAGAAGAGAGAGAGAGAGAGAGAAGAGAGAGAGAGGAGAGAGAGAGAGAGAGAGAGAGAGAGAAAGAGAGAGAGAGAGAGAGAGAGAGAGAGAGAGAGAGAGAGAGAGAGAGAGAGAGAGAGAGAGAGAGAGAGAGAGAAAGAGAGAGAGAGAGAGAGAGAGAGAGAGAGAGAGAGAGAGAGAGAGATCCAAAAAGTTCATAGACATATATGAATCAAGCAGTTTAATTCAGGTCTTCTGTAGAGACACTATTGCTTTATATGAAGATCAGATGTAATTTAGGCTTTAATTCATATAAACATTGATCAAATATAGTCAAAGGCAGGGGCAGCTGTGCTTGTTTGCCACGTGAGAACAAACCTTATTGGTTCTTGCGGACGCTCAAACTCACGTGAAAACAAAACTCATTGGTTCTCACGCATCAAGCAAGCAGATTTGACCCTTCGTTTACCATATTTGATGTGCTTCATGTATGTGTTGATCAATGTTCATCACACTCTCCAGTTTACCAGCCACAACATACTCAGCTAAGAAGATACTAGAAGATACAACATACTCAGCTAAGTAACAAGTCCAACTCCGAACGCAGCTCTCTCTCTCTCTCTCTGTGTGTGTGTGTGTGTATGTGTCAAGTCAAGTCATCTTCATTTATATAGCGCTTTTAACAATGGAGATTGTTTCAAAGCAGCTTTACAGAGATAAACATACAATTTACGGTAACAGAGATTGTTTTGGCTTTATAGCGATTTTAAATAATGTTATTTCCGGCTAAAGTTGGTTTTGATTGATTCACTTCCAGCTAAATTATCATTTGTTATTACATTAGGGGCCACTAAGACGACGGCGTTCTCTCTAAACAGACTTTAAACGCGAACCTGTGACCTGATGGCGTTCACATGCGCATTAAAAATTTATTCTATATAGTTATATTCGTTTGAATTTGTGTGCGCAGGTTTGTAATTTCCCAACAAACCATGCCTAAACAAACTACTTGTCTTGCCTCTAAATTTGATACAGAATTTTATTTTATCACTTCAAGGTACGCGAACCGGATTTCAACAACGCTTTATCTGTAGAGTGGGAAAGAGATCCTCCATAGGGAGAGGATGTGTGTGTGTGTGTGTGTGTGTGTGTGTGTGTGTGTGTGAGAGAGAGAGAGAGCGAGCTGTGTATCCGTTCCTGAGGCCAGCACATGTGGTTCTACTCAGGCTATCCACAACGGATCACCTCAGGCCAAACACACACTGAACATACAGTAACACATACAGTAACAAATACACCACCACGGAGATAAAAATCTCATGACTTTACTGAGTGTTTAAATCAACTAAGGTCAACAGAGCTCACACTGGGAATTCTCATGTTATAAGGTCTTACAAATTTCATATAAAGATTTTTTTCAATTAAAATTTCTCATAAATATCGGTAATGTTTTTTTGTTTTTTTTTGCTGTAGTTCATGTGTAATTTGAAATTTCAAAGAATTTCTCAATTTTGTAATGGTCAATGGTATTTAATGTAGTAATAACATGGTTATTAACACAGCGACCTCTAAAAATGTTTAAATCTTTGCACATTTACATGTTGCTAAGAACTTATTAATTAGATGCATTATGATTTTAGTTGAAATTATTAATGTTAATTTAGTGAAATTAACCCTGTGGTGAAAATCAATCTTTTAATGTTGTTTATGTCTATGTGGTGTTTTTAATACGCTTTATGGTTAATATGCTGAGCTGGTGTGAGTGAGTGGAGGCGGGGCTCATTTGCATAAACCGCGTATACTAAATGACACAAGGGTGTTCAGTTACATTCAATCTATTTTAAGGCATGACGGAAACAAAAATTCAAGGACAATTTTTTAAATATGTCATTTTGGTGATCAAAGATGAGTTTTAAGGGATAAAATGATTGACTACAGGTAAGGGGGACTTTAAGATCTACCAAGTCAGAACTGAGGAATGCAAAAGGAGTACGCAGATTTTGTATTTGGAGGGTTTAGTCATATTTAGTAAGCAGAATACTGAATATAAGAAGTGTTACTGACTTACAAACCTCACGAACCTGAGTATGTGCATGAACGCGCATGTGTTTGCAGAGTTTAAAGTAATAGTTCAATCATAAATGAATATTCCCCCTCACCCATGTTGCTCTAAGCCTGTATGACTTTCTTTCTTACATGAAACACAAAAGAAGACGTTGTGCAGAATGTTACTTTTTTTTTCCATACAATGAGTCAGTGTCTAGAACTGTCAAGCTCCAAAAGGACATACAAGTAATCCATAAGCCAATATTTCAAGTCTTCTGAAGACATACAATAGCTTTGTGAGACTCAAATAAAGTCAATATTCACTGAAAGTCTTCCTCTTCCCAGCAGTTCTCAAATCTCAGCCTCACTTGTGTTCAATTTAAGCATGACTTTTGACTTTTGATTGATTGAACACGACTACGACAATATATGGTTTATCCGAGTTCTTCAAGTCTTCTCGGGTATTTTCATGATAATAAAGTATATTTATACTTCAAAGCTAATAGACATAGCCTTTATCACTGTATAGAATACTATGAAATATTATGTTGTGTGCCTTATTCTGTGTAAGAAGCCACGTCGTCTCACAGAGGGATGCTCAACTGTTGTTATGAAGTGAGTTTGGAGTAAAAATCATGTTATTAAATGTTGTCTTTTGTTGGATAAGAGGTTCATAAATGCTTCTCATGTTTAGAAAGATGTTTGGCGTCTTGCTTTTTCAAATGCACATTATAAGCGACTCAAACTCACAGTGCTTTCATATGGAGCAGCGTTTCCTACGGATCACAGAGCCGTGCGTCACTGACAAGCTGCGCATAAAAATAATAATCGCAGCCTTTGTGATTTCAAAATGGTTTAAACGTTAATTGCAATTAATCGTGCAGCCCTACTTTTGATCCATGTAACCTTTAATTCTAATAAATACGTTTTTTGGGGGGGGGGGTTTCACAACGAAAATTGTACACAATTGTAAAAATAAAAATTACAAGAAAAAGCACATGTACACAGGTCTATCAGATACAAAAACACTTTAAATGTTAAATTAAATGTTATCAAATGTATATATGAAGAGTTTGGTTCCAAAACCACTTTAAAAAAAAAAAACCATTTAAAAAAAAAATTAGTTACTGCAAAAATCAGTATTGTATCTGGTTGGTATTGAAAAGTCAATGTTTAATTTTAAGTAAAATGCGATATCCGCCGTGTTATTCTGTTCTCACTTTCTTTCCAAACCGCGACAAACGCCAGTCTCCCTTCTCTTCAGAATGCGATATATCCGCTCTCAACCAATCACAACGCACCATTCCACGCAATGTAAACAGTAACGGCAGCGCCTTAAACACACCCGGCTTCCTAGTTTTTCTTATCTATTTTGTACTTTTCGATCAACAAACAAACAAAAAAAAGAATAATTTTGACGGCATTGATGAACCTGTGGTTGTTTCTGCGGTGGGTAAGAAACGTAAGGCATCGAAATCGAATCATTTACGTGAGGAGATTAAGAAGATGAGGCACTCGGGAGGAGGAAAAATGTTTTCAATCTTCTTTACAGTTCTTAATAAAACTATTATATTAATAAACTTACGTTGTTGTGTATTTTCAACAGTTTCAATATGAAAAAAAACACTTTTAAATTGATTCAATGGATTAATTGCATTTTGAATTTTAAAAAAAAAATGGATTTATTGCATTTTGGGGGAAAAATAATCCGTTTTTATAATAAATCTTTGAAAATCAAAACCTGGATTTTTTTTTTTTGTTATTATGACCTACAAATGCTATGTGAAAGTTTGAAACAGAAAATAGTGGTTTTCATCTTTCCACTTTCTTGGTAAAGAAAACACATTTTTACTCAAATTAATCTAAATGGATTTATTGCGTTTTGGAACCAAACTCTTCATATATTGTGTAAAAATATAAATATAGATAAATCCTATTTAGGCTACAAAAGTTATTCAGTCAAGTGCAGTGGCAGATTTTCTCTTTTTCTTTTGTTGTTTGATTAACATTAACGACATAAACCAGAAAACTGTCGATCAGACAATGCATGAGTACCAAATCGAGTTTTCAGGAGGTGCGTGTGTGTGTGCGCGTGTGTGTACCTGACAGTGGAAGACATACTCCGGTGTGGCCTTCTTGTATTTCATGTTCCAGACCAAAGCCACTCCATCAGGCTCATGTGGGGCTTCCTCATTGTTGTTATAAGAGGCGACCAGCAACTCTGGATACTGTGAACACACGTGTACAGGTCAGCAAAACAAAACCTTTGTCTATTTAAGAACAACTTTTGACTACAGGCATTAAGTCTGGTTCACATTACAGCTCATTCTGGCAAAGAACCGCCCACTTACACACATTTAATCTTTTTTTTTATGCTGACTGTTACAAATATGCAAAAAATGACATATAATACATATTACATCCATATTATATCACTTATCAGAAGCATAATTTATTAAAACTTGATCAATACCTAATTTCATGTGTAATTATCATTGCATGTACTGTATGCATGCATGCTTGATTTATAAAGTGAAGTTTTGAGGTCACGTACCAGTGGGGACCAATCCAGACAGGTTACCACTCGCTGTTTGGACCAGCGGTCATCCACAAACTGCCTGTTCAGAGACAGTTTCGCCCCAGCCTGCATCTCACTAGATACACACACATCTCACATTAAACAGTGCATATGAGCAGCTCTGTGATTTATTTTTTTAGGGCTGATGGTTACCCCTCCTTCTCCTCCATGTCCCGGCCGCTGTAGTCGAAGAAAACATCCACGTGTTCGGACAGAGCGCGCTCCACGATGCGTGTGCTGTGATCGAAAAACTCCATGAACTCCTCCGAGTGCAGAATCTGTAACTTCTCCTCCTCTGTTAGCTCATGAGGGGCCGCTACACTCACCAACAGACACGGAACAAACGACAGGTGTGGAATTGGATGAAATTAATTCCATTTATAAATCAGAATAGTTGAATTCTTGATTCTAATGGTTAAAGGGATAGTTCACCCAGAAATGAAAATTTGCTCATGATTTACTCACTCTCAAATCATCCTAGGTGTATATGACATTCTTCTTTCAGACGAATACAATCAGGAGTTATATTAAAACATATCCTGGCTCTTCCAAGCTTTATAATGGCAGTGAATTGCTGTTTCTGTTTTGAAGTCCATAAAAGTGCATCTATCCATGATAAAAGTGCATCTATCCATGATAAAAGTGCATCTATCCATCATAAAAGTGCATCTATCCATCATAAAAGTGCATCTATCCATGATAAAAGTGCATCTTGCATCTATCCATGATAAAAGTGCATCTATCCATCATAAAAGTGCATCTATCCATCATAAAAGTGCATCTATCCATGATAAAAGTGCATCTTGCATCTATCCATGAAAAAAGTGCATCTATCCATGATAAAAGTGCATCTATCCATCATAAAAGTGCATCTATCCATCATAAAAGTGCATCTATCCATGATAAAAGTGCATCTATCCATCATAAAAGTGCATCTATCCATTATAAAAGTGCATCTATCCATGATAAAAGTGCATCTTGCATCTATCCATGATAAAAGTGCATCTATCCATCATAAAAGTGCATCTATCCATGATAAAAGTGCATCTATCCATCATAAAAGTGCATCTATCCATGATAAAAGTGCCTCTATCCATCATAAAAGGGCATCTATCCATGATAAAAGTGCCTCTATCCATCATAAAAGTGCATCTATCCATCATAAAAGTGCATCTATCCATCATAAAAGTCCATCATAAAAGTGCATCTATCCATCATAAAAGTGCATCTATCCATGATAAAAGTGCATCTTGCATCTATCCATGATAAAAGTGCATCTATCCATCATAAAAGTGCAACTATCCATGATAAAAGTGCATCTATCCATCATAAAAGTGCATCTATCCATGATAAAAGTGCATCTATCCATCATAAAAGTGCATCTCTCCATCATAAAAGTGCATCTATCCATCATAAAAGTGCATCTATCCATCATAAAAGTCCATCATAAAAGTGCATCTATCCATCATAAAAGTGCATCTATCCATGATAAAAGTGCATCTTGCATCTATCCATGATAAAAGTGCATCTATCCATGATAAAAGTGCATCTATCCATGATAAAAGTGCATCTATCCATGATAAAAGTGCATCTTGCATCTATCCATGATAAAAGTGCATCTATCCATGATAAAAGTGCATCTATCCATGATAAAAGTGCCTCTATCCATCATAAAAGTGCATCTCTCCATCATAAAAGTGCATCTCTCCATCATAAAAGTGCATCTATCCATCATAAAAGTGCATCTATCCATCATAAAAGTGCATCTATCCATGATAAAAGTGCATCTATCCATGATAAAAGTGCCTCTATCCATCATAAAAGTGCCTCATCATAAAAGTGCATCTCTCCATCATAAAAGTGCATCTCTCCATCATAAAAGTGCATCTATCCATCATAAAAGTGCATCTATCCATCATAAAAGTGCATCTATCCATGATAAAAGTGCATCTATCCATGATAAAAGTGCCTCTATCCATCATAAAAGTGCCTCATCATAAAAGTGCCTCTCTCCATCATAAAAGTGCCTCATCATAAAAGTGCCTCTCTCCATCATAAAAGTGCATCTATCCATCATAAAAGTGCATCTATCCATCATAAAAGGGCATCTATCCATGATAAAAGTGCCTCTCTCCATCATAAAAGTGCATCTATCCATCATAAAAGTGCATCTATCCATCATAAAAGTGCATCTATCCATCATAAAAGGGCATCTCTCCATCATAAAAGTGCATCTATCCATCATAAAAGGGCATCTATCCATCATAAAAGTGCATCTATCCATCATAAAAGTGCATCTATCCATCATAAAAGGGCATCTATCCACGATAAAAGTGCCTCTCTCCATCATAAAAGTGCATCTATCCATCATAAAAGTGCATCTATCCATCATAAAAGTGCATCTATCCATCATAAAAGGGCATCTCTCCATCATAAAAGTGCATCTATCCATCATAAAAGGGCATCTATCCATCATAAAAGTGCCTCTCTCCATCATAAAAGTGCATCTATCCATCATAAAAGGGCATCTATCCATGATAAAAGTGCCTCTCTCCATCATAAAAGTGCATCTATCCATCATAAAAGGGCATCTATCCATCATAAAAGTGCATCTCTCCATCATAAAAGTGCATCTATCCATCATAAAAGTGCATCTATCCATCATAAAAGTCCATCATAAAAGTGCATCTATCCATCATAAAAGTGCATCTATCCATCATAAAAGTGCATCTATCCATCATAAAAGTGCATCTAACTATCATAAAAGTGCATCTATCCATCATAAAAGTCCATCATAAAAGTGCATCTATAGATGCCCATCATAAAAGGGCATCTATCCATGATAAAAGTGCCTCTCTCCATCATAAAAGTGCATCTATCCATCATAAAAGGGCATCTATCCATGATAAAAGTGCCTCTCTCCATCATAAAAGTGCATCTATCCATCATAAAAGGGCATCTATCCATGATAAAAGTGCCTCTCTCCATCATAAAAGTGCATCTATCCATCATAAAAGGGCATCTATCCATCATAAAAGTGCATCTCTCCATCATAAAAGTGCATCTATCCATCATAAAAGTGCATCTATCCATCATAAAAGTCCATCATAAAAGTGCATCTATCCATCATAAAAGTGCATCTATCCATCATAAAAGTGCATCTATCCATCATAAAAGTGCATCTAACTATCATAAAAGTGCATCTATCCATCATAAAAGTCCATCATAAAAGTGCATCTATCCATCATAAAAGTGCATCTATCCATCATAAAAGTGCATCTAACTATCATAAAAGTGCATCTCTCCATCATAAAAGTGCATCTCTCCATCATAAAAGGGCATCTCTCCATCATAAAAGTCCATCATAAAAGTGCATCTATCCATCATAAAAGTGCATCTATCCATCATAAAAGTGCATCTATCCATCATAAAAGTGCATCTATCCATCATAAAAGTGCATCTATCCATCATAAAAGGGCATCTATCCATCATAAAAGTCCATCATAAAAGTGCATCTATCCATCATAAAAGTGCATCTATCCATCATAAAAGTGCATCTATCCATCATAAAAGTGCATCTCTCCATCATAAAAGTGCATCTATCCATCATAAAAGTGCATCTATCCATCATAAAAGTGCATCTATCCATCATAAAAGTGCATCTATCCATCATAAAAGTGCATCTATCCATCATAAAAGGGCATCTATCCATCATAAAAGTCCATCATAAAAGTGCATCTATCCATCATAAAAGTGCATCTATCCATCATAAAAGTGCATCTATCCATCATAAAAGTGCATCTCTCCATCATAAAAGTGCATCTATCCATCATAAAAGTGCATCTATCCATCATAAAAGTGCATCTATCCATAATAAAAGTGCATCTATCCATCATAAAAGTGCATCTCTCCATCATAAAAGTGCATCTATCCATCATAAAAGTGCATCTATCCATGATACAAGTGTCCCAAACGAGGGGTTAATAAAGGCCTTCTGAAGCAAAACGATGCATTCGTGTAAGAAAAATATCCATATTTAAAACTTTATAAAGTAAAATAACTAGCTTCCGAAAAGAAACCGCTATTCACTGCCATTATAAAGCTTGGAAAAGCCAGGACATTTTTTTATATAACTCCTGATTGTATTCGTCTGAAAGAAGAAAGTCATATACACCTAGGATGACTTCAGGGTGAGTAAATCATGGGCTAATTTTCATTTTTGGGTGAACTATCCCTTTAACAAATGTTCCAGGTTCGTTCTTGTTATTCCAGTTTTGAGCCAAGCAAGATGCTTAATTGTTGTCTGAATGCACAAGTATATATCAGCAACATATATACTTTCAGCAACAACCACTGCCAATTTTCATTTTCTGCAAAGACAGAACATATGTGAATTGTCTTCTTCAATCACGAATAATATAATGTCAACAAATATCACTGTTTGGATTATTATAGTGAAACATATAAAACATCCAAACACACCAAATGATCTGTAATGCATTCCAGTGGAGTTGGTAGGACAATGAACATGAGATGCATTCAATACTTCACCTTCCTCTTCGTGTTTCTCCACTGGTTTCTCTTTCTCTGCCTCGACCTCTGGTTGTGGTGCTGGGGCCTCTTCCTCCTCATCTTCCTCTGCAACAGTAACATCACACACATCAGGATCATTTACACCAGAGCTGCAGTGTTATTAAAGGACACATGCTTTAAACTGTTAATACTTGACTCTGACTGGGTTAAAGGGATATTTCACCCAGAAATGAAAATTCTGTCATCGTTTACTCGCCCTCATGTTGTTCTAAACGTATATGAGGTTTCTATGTTGTGTTGAACACAAAAGAAGATATTTTGAAGAATGTCGGTAACCAAAGAGATGCTGGTCCCCATTCACTTCCACAGTAGGAAAACAATACTATGGAAGTCAATGGGGTCCAACTGCCTGGTTATCGACATTCTTTAAAATATCTTCTTTTGTGTTCGACAGAAGAATGAAATTCATACAGGTTTGGAACAACTTGAAGGTGAGTAAATAATGACAGGATTTTAATTTTTGGGTGAACTATCCCTTTAAGAACACTGCATTTGTAAACCATTGGTTAAAGTTCTTATGTGGATATTTAAGAGGTTACATGGTCACACTTTAGATTAGGGTCCAATTCTCACTATTAACTACGACCTTTGCCTCAATAAACTCCGAATTACTGCTTATTAATAGTTAGTTGTTAAGTTTAGGTATTGACCAGGGATGTAGAATATGATCACACAGAATGAGGCATTAATATGTGCTTTATAAGTACTAATAAACAGCCAATATCATAGTAATATGCACGGCACGCTAATAAGCAACTAGTTAATAGTGAGAATTGGACCCTAAACTAAAGTGTTACCGGTTATATATATTCAATGAGGTTTGAAGTGAGAAAGTTTCTGATTGGTGTTAAACAACTTAATGCAGCACGGCATTCTTTCAAATTGTATACTTTTGACACCACAATTCAGCACACCCACATTTACATATCAACACCTTTTCACTGTTCAGCAACTTGGCCTAAGGACAATATGAACTGTTGCATGAAGTCAGCCAATCAAAACAGAGGTCATTAACATATGTAAACGACCTCTTAAAGGAACAGTAGCCTTTTTAAATGTATGGGTCAGAGAGTGTGATAAATGTGTAACACTTTCCAATAAGGTTTCATTTGTCGACATTAGTTAACTACTTTCGTTAACATGAACTAGCAATGCACAATACTTCTACATCATTTATTAATTTTAGTCAATTTTACTTTCAAAATGTACTACAATTCAACAAATATCAAAAGGTGTGTGTTAATGCACTATGAACTAACATGAACATTTTTATTAGCAAAAGTTAATAAATGCTTTAAAAATGTATTGCTCATTGTTTGCTAATGTTAGTTAACATATTAATGTTTAAATAAATGAGACGCTACCGATAAATGTTATTAAAATCTAAAATTAAAATTTTTGGTCCAAGATACCTTTAAAAAAGCAGACCTGTAAAAACAGGACACAGATTACACCAGTGTTTTTTGAGCATTCAGAGTGGGAAATGTACTTTTATTTTTACCGATCGGCCATAGTGGTTAGTACATGCTCTATTTTATCTGCCATTTTATAAATAACTCACTATATAAAGTAGCTCCAAAATATGTAATGCAGATTTTTAAGTGTAACTGGTACTTGAAATACAATACATGTATTTAAGATAAGATTACCCATCACCGCTGGTAACACACAAGTGAACTAGCAGGTGATAGATGTTAATTTCACTCTGAATGCCCGTAACATAAAATAACCAGGACTGTGGGAGGATGTGCTTCATTTCACTGGTTCTGATTAATATCAATTGAATAGGTGGAGAAACCAAAGTGAATCAGCCACCAAATTCAAAGTCCAGGACTGCTGACAGGCAAACAAGAACAACCTGTAGAGAGTGTGTGTGTGTGTGTGTGTGTGTGTGTGAACATTGTATCTAGTCTGTCTTCTCTCTAATCTACAGGGGTCTTCGCCATCACAGAGGTCTTAACCTACAGCCCGTCCAACAGACTCCCGGTGTAACGGAGACAGGGACTATTCAGCAGCGCATCCCATAGACACACGCAGGGCAGCAGGTGCCAGTGGCTGAGACAGCTGACGGCTGGCTGTGTGTATTAGGCAGATGGTTTTGCTGCAATTGTGTGTGTGTGTGTGGTGGCACGGGGATGGCACAGGGGTTTCTGGCTGACTGCTTTTAGTCAAGACTCTCTCCGGATACACAAGTTCATGCAATTAGAGAGTCGGCAGGGGGTCCATGGGCCGCTATTCACCCCCAAACATGAGCAGCTAAATGAAGCTGCTGCCCTGACCAGCTGTAAGCCACACACACACACACACAGCTCATCTCCGACAATACTCACACCACTGAAGCCTGAACAAATGCAAAAGCTCAGGGGGAAAAAAAAAAACATGTTAAAAAGACCTCAAAGCAATAGCTCCCAAAATGCAATGTCTTCATTTATTTGCCTTCACGCCATTCCAAACTCGTATGACTTGCTTTCCTCCATGGAAAAGGAGAATACCTGAAGAATATTATGGCCCCATTGCATTTTCAGTAAAAAAAAAAGGAAATGGGGACAGGTCTGTCAAGCTCTGAAATGGAAAAAATATAACCACCATAAAAAATAGCATTAAAAGTAGTCCATGTAAGGCTGCATGACTTTGGGATATAAAAAATATTTTTAAAAATGCCATTTTTCTGATAAATGTTGCAACTGTGATTTTAAACCCCATGTTTGATTTTTTTTTTTAAATAATAATGTTGTTATTACAAGATAAAAATCTTAAACATAATAAAAAAAATATTACTAGGGATGTCCCGATCAAGTTTTTTGTCCCGAACTTGTATTTTCCTAGTGTTTTTTGCAGACTTCAAGTACATTAAAGTTATTAAAATCACTCCAATGCACACAGGGATGTGCAGAGAATTCCTTAGTAATTATATCAAGTCAAGACAATGGTAGATGTGAACAGTGTGCTCACAATTATGAATAGATAAACTCCTTGCATGTTATGTGTACAATGAGCAGAATAATTGCAGCAGAATGAAAATAGTGGAAATAAGGTTAGAAAGCATGAATCTCGCTGTGTCAGAATGGCAGAAATATCCGAAGCAAGACACAACCCATATGGCAACGATGTCAGATAGTCTGATGGGCAGATAAAACATAAACTGTAATGACTTTTGAGTAATTTGTTACAAAAGTGTGCATTAAATGTGCTAAACACGGAAGCTGGAACGTGCAACTATGAGCAACGAGTTGCTTCTTTTCCTTTGAATGGCGGTACCCACTCAAAGGTGCATAGCGCCACCTACTGCATGACACCTGTGTTTACATGTGACGATAACGGTATCGCATTCAGAAACGTGCACTTTGAAGCCTGTTTTCAAAAGCTTGAGTTTTCAGGTCCTCCAAAACGCCATTGCTGTATAAATGAACGGCTAAAACCCATAAAAAGTTTTTTTGATTTTAGTTGAAAATGTGTGTCATGTAAACGTCCCCAAGACAGTTCTGTGAGGCATTATACCGACAAAAACTTTGGCTCAGGCATTCCGGCTTTTTTACGCACATCGAGAAATGTATTCAGTAAATGTGTTTCCATCGTAGTTTGAGCGCATTGTTTTTTTGCAATTGAGCGCATACGTTTCTTTATGCACGTTTTTAGAATTGATGAGCATCTTGGCGTTTCCATTCAGGGTTTTTTCATGCGGTGTCCCAAAATATGCATAAAAAACAGGACGGAAACATTGCTACTGACTACAATAGGTCACGAGTTCCTCACATTTATTTATATTAATCGTGTAGCCCAAGTCTATAGTAAACCATAAGACAAGCTTGTCTGTGAGAAACCGAATGAAATACATTCACTGAAAATCCTCCCGTCCGCCACGGCTCTCAAATGAAATAAGGCAGCAAATGCCATTTAGCCACGACACGAGAACCACTAGTCAAAATGACTTCTTGAACCATTTTAAATGGGAATATGATCAGTTAATAATGACTTTCAATGTTTTCCCCAGACAAAGCTCTGACCTCAGGACACTATGAACATCGCGCTACAACTAAAGACTTTGAACATCCGTCTAATGGACTGCTGTTGGTTTCCATTTAATAGAAAATAAAAGTGTTTTCCATTCGTCAAAGATTCTCACCTAATGACACAAAGCCAAAATAATGAATTTCCTTGAATTTCTCGACATATTCGATAATCAAAACGATGGTTTTGTGTTACGCCCATGTTAATGGCATGCTGTTTTGCATGACCAGAAAAACTTGTTTCAATAGAGAGCGAAATCGCCCTTTCCTGCAATAATCAAAATGATAATGTCATCTGTCAGCTTTTACTTCGGAAACGTGTCCACGGCTCTCTCTGGAAAGGCCGGGTTTGAAGAGAGAGAGAGGGGGGGGTTCGCTCTGATGAGTTTATGGAGTCGTTCTGATGACACGGGCCATCTCGCCGTGCCGGGCCCGTACTCAGGAACGAGAGAGGAGAGAAGGTTAAAATCTTTCCTTTCAAGGGCCTCAATCAGGCTTGGAGGAAAACAGTAATCAGTGTCTTTCAGTCCGGGGCCCGAACGCAGCGCGGCCCTTTCTCTGCCAGCCAGACCCGAGCAATCAACCTGCCAGGCATTAGCAGCGGAAAGACAATCTGAAAATAAGGGGTGTAATGCACCTGCCAGCAAAAATGCCCATTTGGAGAAAAGCAAGTGATCCTGGTGACCCCACAGAGAGGACGAGAGAGAGAGAGAGAAACATTTAACAGAATTCACCCTGATGGCAGATCCCCTTCCCATCGACACCTCATCTCAAAGCTGCAGCAATTATAGCTTTTGTATCCCTCAAGAAATAAAAGCTTTTTTTGCGGGAGGGAGGGCGTAAGCAGAGAGAGAAAGAGAGCGGCCGGTAATCGGCAGGCTTTGTCGAAAGGACAATGTATTAATGCGAGCGCCCCATGGGGTCAGAGGTTGTTCGAGAACAAGACTAATGCTCTTTGATGTCCTCTGCAGGTGCACAGACTCCGTCGGACGCCCGCAGGAAAGAGGACACAGAGAGAGACCCTCCGAACGCTGACTT